GCGAGGGAGGACAGCGTCGGCAGGGAGTGAGGAGGGCGTCGGAGAGAGAGGAGCGCAGGTCCTCGGAGAGGGAAGAGAGAGTCGTCGCGGAGAAGGAGAAAGGGCGTCGTCGCGGGGAGGGAGGAAACCCTAGAATAGATATTTGGTTGGAGGCGGAAAGTTGAAAACTCAGTGAAAGTGACGGTGAAAACCCTAGGTCCCTCTATGTCTGTTTATATACGGGGGTAGAAGTTGCAATAAAATTTTTGATGGGTAATATTTGCAACGAGTTTAATTAATAGGATTAACATATAAAAAGTTATCGAATAGTTAATAATCACTCGAATCGAATATACATTTAATTTTATTTGTTTATAAGCCGAATACTGAAAAATATTCATTAAGTATTAAATGAACTATCAGATCGAATATGACCGAATATCTAGACGAATATTAACTGAATTGTTTATTAAATATTTGGTTCGCTTCCATCCCTATTTGTGAGTCATTAATTACTAACTATTTGTTTAGGTTTTGCAATGTAACCTTATAAATTTATTTTTTCATAATTATTGATGTTAATTATCAAATAGAGGGTCTATGTTATAGTCATGAGAGTGTTTAGGGTCATCAAACTTCTTCAGATGACTGATTCTAGAGCCTGTTGTTCTTCCATGCATATGAAAAACTCGTGAGAGGGCGGGGTTGTGTTCTACGGTTGTTCCTCTGACGATCAAGTCAGTATTTTGATCTTGAGGATGAAAATCAAGGACAAAGTGCGTAAGTAGTTATTCTAAGTTGCCAAAACGTAGAAATAGTTACCCCGTGTAGTGTAGCTCTCTTTTATAGCAGATCAGAGGGGTATGAAGGTAACTTCGGTCGAGTCCAGATAGGCTGTTGAGTCGACAGGTACCCTTCAAGTGTCGACCATGGAAGAAAGTGAGTCATCTGGTAATTTAATGAGGGAATGACAGCAGGTGCTTTGGAGCTGACTAGATCTGATAAGTCATAAAGACTATGTAGGCTAGAGTAATGATGATTTTATCAGAGCAGTTAATATGAGAGGAGTCAACTAGCGAGGGGTTCGATGTAACTGCCGCTTCTCTATTTGTTTGATCCGGGGCTGAGTAGCACCGCCTTTTGACTCGGCTACGCAAGTTATCGGCCCATAGGATCAGCCGAGTGGGGTGCCTGACAAGTACCGTCTTTTGACCGGGCTACGCAAATTGTCGGCCCATAGGGTCGGTCGTGGGAGTAATTTTGAGTTGTCTTAGTCTCAATTCATGTAATTTAGGCGAGGGATGAAACACATATATGTTTCTCTAGGGAGATTAGAACTTGTTAATTTTCTAGACTATAACAATAATCTATCCGTATGAAATTTGATTACAAGTCCTAACCTTTGGGTGAATGTTGACGAATTTGATGCGGAGGCAATTGTTGATGCTTTTTAGGAGAAATCAGATGTACAACTTCAATAGACAATATAAGAGGATGACTTTTTGCCAAATTTCGATGTACAACTTCAATAGACAATAATTTTTTATTCCCTCCTTATAATCGCTATTATGGTATGTTTTGGAAAGCTTGGAAAGTGCTCTACAAGTTGAACAACTTAACCGTTCCAATCAAGATTTTGGGTGATAGGTAATTGTCTTCAGGCTCAAACTACACGTTTAAGAGTTTTGATCCAATTTAGTTTTTTTATTTTTAGAAAGCCTAATTGCTTTAGGAAATGTATTATAGTATATTTGCTTTGTTTTATACCTTATATAAGGGAAACGAATTTGTGAACTCTTTAGATTGGTTATTATCATTTCAAAAGTTTTTGATTCCTAGGAGTTTCTAGGGTTTTGTGTCGTTCTGCTCGTACAAGAACGAGTATTTATTTCTTTTGATTAAGCTTCTGCTATATCAGAATTACTATCGATTTAAGTTCTATACTAATGTTGAAAGATCAAAAAAGTACCAAATTGGGTGTTAAAGAAATATTCAAAATGCAAAGTTTCACATTATAATAAGGAAATGACTTTTTATTTTAAAGTTTAGTTCTATTTAAAATGAAATTATGTAGAAAAATAAAAATATCTTCCCAATTAAATAGATTCAATATCGGTTTAAGTTCTACTTTTTTTATTTTAGAAGCATTCAAAAGATATCGGTAAATGTTTGAAAATCTTCAAAGTTGAATTAGAAGAACTTTCAAGAAAAAATCATTCAAATTCAGATTCAAAGATTTTAATAAGGGGACACAAATATGAATACCTGGTATTATGAATTTAGGTTACGAAAATGACATAAAAAGAGATCTTATGAAAACGATCAACCCATGGGATGGGTTAATAAAGCCATTTGGGCGGGTTGGGGTATTGGCTTAATTTGTACTTAACCAATGAGTAACCAGATAATTTGGAGCTCAAGAAGTTGGGTAATATTTTGTACGTCACAAGTATTTATGTACATGGGTCAGTATTTAAAAGTGAATATTTATATTATGACCTTGAAACATTATTGTTACAATTATTATCACGGTGGCTTATAACAAAAGGACTGAGCGATAGGTAATATCTTATTACTTTTCCTTATCCGGAAGAAAAGGTGACGATTTAGGCAATATTAATAGATGGGCCTAGATATTAAAAATTAATATGTTTTTTAAGAAAAATTATGACTGGCGGACAAGAATGTGACAAGGCAGAAATATCATTGTGAAAGTCTCTTTATATGCTAACATCTAGGCCCGGCCGGGCCGAGGCCCGGTCCGGTCCAGCCCGGCCTCGGCCCGGAAACCCGGGCCAAGTTCGGGCTTCGGGTTGGGCTCGGACCGGCTCTTTGGTGCCCGGCCCGGCCTAAAATGGATTTTTTTAATTTTTTTATATGTACTATATATGTATAATATATGTATATATAAATATATATATAATATGTATAATATATGTATATATAATATATTTTTATGCCCGGCCGGGCCGAGGCCCGGTCCGGTCCAGCCCGGCCTCGGCCCGGAAACCCGGGCCAAGTTCGGGCTTCGGGTTGGGCTCGGACCGGCTCTTTGGTGCCCGGCCCGGCCTAAAATGGATTTTTTTAATTTTTTTATATGTACTATATATGTATAATATATGTATATATAAATATATATATAATATGTATAATATATGTATATATAATATATTTTTATATATGTATAATATATGTATATATAATATATTTCTATATGTGTATAATATGTCATATGCATGTGTATATATACTCTCTCTTAGTATATAAGTATATATAAGTATACTCTCTCTTATATAAGTATATATATATATGTATAAGTATATATGAGTATACTTTCTCTTATATAAGTATATATAAGAATACTCTCTCTTATATATGTATAATGTATGTATGTATGTATGTATATACTCTCTCTCTCTCTTAGTATATATGTATATATACTCCCTCTTATATATGTATACTCTCTCTTATATAAGTATACACTCTCTTATATATGTATAATATATGTGTGTGTATATATATACTAATATACTCTCTCTCTTAGTATATATGTATATATAAGTATACTCTCTCTTATATATGTATACTCCCTCTTATATAAGTATACTCTCTCTTATATATGTAGAATATGTGTGTGTGTGTACTCTCTCTCTCTTAGTATATAAGTATATATAAGTATAGTATATTACAACGGCTACTTCTTTCCCATTGGCTCTCTCTCTTAGTATATAAGTATATATAAGTATAGTATATTACAACGGCTACTTCTTTCCCATTGGCCCAACGGGCAACAGCTACTTATGCGATTCTCTCTCTCTCAAGGTATAACTTATAAATATATACAATATATTTACATATAATGTATGTATATATAATATATAGTTACATAATAATTTGTAAGTATATACTAATACATAATTATATAAAATATAATAATATTAAACTAATTTTTAGCAATTTTTATCAAAAAGAAAAGAAATTAAAAAAAATCTAGTTGGGATGTACTTGTCTATTGTGATGCGATGAATTCCAAAATAAATTTATACTTGTAATTTATAAATAATTTATTAATTATTAATAAAGAATTTATTTTTATAATTTTTTATTTGTAATTTATGTCATTTTAAGTGATTAATAAAATTATTTTTTATTAATTTTTTTTGTCTTTTTTATAATTTAAAATTTAAATAAAATTTAAAAAATTTGATCAAAAAATTTTTTAAAAAATGAAATAAACCGGGCCGGCCCGGAACCCGGCCCGGACTCGGCCCAGGGTACCCGGGTCCGGGCTTCGGTTTTGCCCAACCCGGGCCCGAATTTTCTGGTCGGGCCGGTCCGGATGGACAGGTCTATCAATACTACATATAAAAGATGATTGCCTTGTTAAAATTTTTAATTTTATTTTTGTTCTTTTTAAGTTTGATAATTCTCAAACATGTTATTAATTATAATTAATTATTCACTAATTATATGTAATATCTTATTAATAATGCATTTCCTCACTTTTTCAAAACCTTTGGTCACACTGTTATTTTATTATTTAATTATGTTATTTAATAGAAAATTTAAAATTTATCCATAATTTATCTTCACATAATATTTAGAATTCTAAAAAAATAAAAATTACTAAAAATTCATTAGGCTTATGCCTTATGCTTCTGGGATTCATCTCCTATGGAGAACTACCCGTTACCTTTCATCTTATTAGTCTTTTAAAAGTATAATAGTGGTATGAAAAATAATTTGTATTTATTGTAATTGTAATTGTATTAATAGTATAATGTTTTTAATAGTATTTTTTAAATTAATAAATTACACTCATTTAATAATTATACAATTTAGTAAATTATTTACTAATAGTGTAATAAACTAATTATGAAATTAAATTATAGTTACTAATAGTATTATAATTATGATATGTATAATATTATTATATTTAAAAGAGAAGAAATTATTTGTATTAAAATTATTTTAATAAATTATGAATAAATTATAAAAATTATCTAAACTATAATAATTAATCATACAATTCTTTATACATAGTTTTATCGTACAATTTATTCATTTAAACAAAATTATAAGTGTTCAAATTTTATACTGTTATACAAAACATTTTATTATTTTACAACCAACAAAAAAGTTTTGAAAAATGTAAAACAAAAAAAAGCTATGCTCTCATGCAAAGCACGTACACTATACTAGTATAATGGAAAAACAAGAATTAGTCTGAAAATAATGTTCTTATATTTATTTTTCTCTTTTCTTTTTTGCTAGCAAAACAGGTACTATAAGTTTATTAGAATAGTGTCGTTATTTTTAAAAGACAAAGTGTGATGCATCTACATCTATACAAGGATGTTGTTGTGCGCAGCGAAACTCGAAAATCACACGAAAGAGCACGAACAAGAACGAGATAGATCACAACCAAACGAACAAACACAAACCACAACATGACAAACGAATTTTAGATGGTTCGGCAAATTGCCTACGTCCACAGGGCGAGGAGGAGGGAGTTTTTACTATTAGAGATAAAGAGAATACAAATATGGTTTACAATCTCACCAAAAACCCTCAAACAAAACTCTCAAAATCTCTCACAAATTCTCCCTCAAATGATGCACAAATCTCTCTCAAAAAGCTGCTCAAAGTCATCCTTCAATTAACCCTAGAAACAACAATGTTTCTATTTATATGAACGACAAACCCAAACCAATCAGGAAACTGGATTCAGACCCAAAAACGCGATCCGGTCGACCGCACATATAGTCTGATCGACCGACCAGAAGGCTGAAAACCCAGCTTAACGATTATAGGGTTTTGGTTGACCGAACTTAGCCTAGCGCTCGACCGAACAGGGTTCGCAGTCACCGACCTAGCATCGCGGTCGACCGGACAAAAAGCCAAAATAACATCATGTAGTGTGCACGTTTTCGGTCGACCGGCCTAAGCCCGCGGTCGACGGGACTGCATCCAAAAGTCTGCCTGTTTCGTTTTTCCTATTCTTCTTCATCGTTTTCGTCATTTCTATATTTTTTTACCTCGGTGAAGTTTTCTCAAAACTGAGCTGACACCAAAAGATAAACAAATGTCCTACTTGTTGAGTCCAGTACGAAGCGGAGTAAACTCCACGACAACGAACTCAATACACAACAAGTCGGGAACCCGAACAAGAGCTCAAACAATCTCCCCACATCAATGTCAACTACTCCAACCGACTGAATCAAAAATGACTGCTTATATATCCTCTTGCCCAAGGAATCAAGCCTCACATAGTTCACCCAAATGGCCTCCAAAGGTCCTCAACATCGAAGAATATTCAATAGCTCCAAACAACGACCAAACTTCACACCCGGGACAATTTTGGTTAACATATACACAAGATTATCCTTTGTGTGGATCTTCTCTAATATGACATCTCCACCATCCAAGATATCTCGAACAAAGTGAAATTTGACATTAATGTGATTCGTGCGTGCATGATAAACCTGGTTCTTTGCCAAATAGATAGATGACATACTATCACAATACACCCAAATGGTCTATTGTGCAATCCTCAAGTTATCCAACAATCCGTGCAACCGCAAAGCCTTCTTCACAGCTTCAGTCACCGTCATATACTCTGCCTCCGTAGTATAAAGAGCCACTGTAGACTGAAGTGCACATCTCCAACACACCGGTGCTCCTACCAATGTAAATACATATCCTGAAGTAGACGGATGCTTGTCAAGATCCTCCGCATAATCAGAATCTACATAGCCAATACAATCCTACCCAATCTTCTCATTCTTCTGAAATACTAAACCATGGTCCCCTTTTTTATTATTTTTGTTACAATAATTCTTTTTTAAATGATACATTATTTTTTTGTAAATGCTACAAGACTTTTTAAAATGCTACAACAATCTGTTTTTGTGCTACAGTGATATCACTATAGTAGTTATACTACAATAATTCACTGTAGTATGAATAGTGAATCTTTAATCCTCCTGTATGAGTATAGAGGAGTAATGTACTTTAGCATAAAGATGTGAAGCGAAGTATTTGATTGCTAGGTAGCCTTACATTATCATAGCCACGTCAATAAGTCATTATACATTACTGGTGTGTTTGGGAGTTTACTTAGGGAAGGGAAAGAAGGGGAAGGAAGGGGAAAAATTCTCATTCCGAATGTAAGAATTTGGGTCAAATTTTCTTTCTATTCCTCTCTTTTACCCTCCAATATGAAACGCCCAAACCAGATTAAAATAAAATTTCCCTTCCCTCGCCCCTCTCTACCCTCCATCAAACAGGCCATACAATTTATAACACTCTCTCTTCCCCCTCTCAAGGCTTGAAATGAAACGCAGAAGGAAAAAGCGCTCGAAACCCCAAAAACCTAGAAAAACCCTAACCAGTCCTGCCATCGTCAGCCCTCGCATCGCCAAATACTATCTCCAGCGCCACACTCTCTTCTCCAAGTACGACGCCGGCGTCCAATTGGACGAAGAGGGCTGGTTCTCCGTCACCCCAGAGCCAATCGCAGCACGCCACGCGTCCCTTGCCGCCGATAACTCCCTCGTCATCGACTGCTTCTCCGGCGTCGGAGGCAACGCCATACAGTTCGCCTCGAGGTATCGCACCACATCCCTCTGTTTGTTTCCCCAATTACAAGTTGAGGAATAAGGTCAAAATTTTTTCTATTTTTTTAGTAGATGTCATGTGATTGCGATTGAAATTGATGCTAAAAGAGTGGAGCTTGCGGTTAATAATGCCAATATTTATGGAGTGGAGGATTATATTGATTTTGTAATTGGGGATTTTTTCCAGCTAGCACCACGGCTGAAGGTAAGTAGTTATTTTTTATTTACTTTTTTTATTGTTTATTTGCAGTTGGGTCACATTTATTTTCAATGTTTTTTTAAAGTAATGCAATACAGCTACTTAGTACATAATAAGTAGTAATAGACCACAAAGATTTTGGGATGAAGGATTTATTTTTGTTATATAGATCGGTATATAGGTATATTACTAGGATAGGCAAGTGCTCTAAAAGTTAAAAATGAAATATAAATGATTATATCAACATAGAGAAGAATGTGAGCTAGGCAAGTGCTAAGGCGCCTGACAAAAGAACCATATATTATTATTATTATTATTATTTGTGCTAAAAAAATTTCATGCTCTATAGGGTGATATAGCCTTTCTTGCACCACCATGGGGAGGTCCATCATATAGCAAAGTTCTGAACTTCACTCTTGACATGCTCAAACCAAAACATGGGTATGCTTATTGCTTTGTGATATTGATGTCTTCTTGAAAAACTATATCTTGCTCATATTGATAGTAGTGATTGATACCAGTTGCAAACATCAAGTTTCATGTTAGATTCTAGTTTTGTCATTCCTTCTGTCTGTTTTCATAGTTATCCATTCTCACGATATTGTTTCCTATATAAGCAACATGAAATTTTATTTTTATAAAGCTGAAGCCTGGCTCCAGCAGTATGATCCATTCATTCTAAACTCAATTCAGTTTTGGAGGGATGTCTCGCTCGCAGTATGACAACAATTCTTATGCGATAAAACCTTAATGTTCCACTCATTTACTTCCCAAAACATAAATTATAATTATTCTATTAGACATGTATATTGATCACATCAATATACATTCTAAATACTTGTTTTCCCCCAGAATCCACCATACTACCTCCTTAATTTTTCTAAATCAATTTAATCATGTGTAGATCTCTTACATTATCTTTCTATTGCTCCATCAATCAGACATATACAACTTCCAGTTGACTTTCTCTTGTATGTTTGATCCTGTGATTGTTTGGACAATTTCGTATACTCTTTATTCTTGTATATCTATACCAAAATGAACCTTCACCATTGAGCATCTTCCTAGTCTCAAGTATGATGCTGAATGACTTAGTTAATTATCATAAGCACATATGTCTGAATCACTTTTGTACTTCAATAGAGATCAAAAATTAATTTCAAAAATCAAATTCAAATGCCAGGGATACAATCTCCTTAAACTAGAATCAATTTCAAATTGTACGGACCTGAGCATTATGTCCTTAAACATTAAAAAAAAACAATTTCAAATGCTATAAACCTGAATGCCCTTAAGCTAAATTCAACTTTGGAACTCACCGACCATAATATATGCTAAATTAAAATAAGTCAAAACTCCAAATATATGGATCACAATAACTTTTAAGCTTCTATTCTGCTTTGCTATGAACTCACGTCCATCTCGAGCTCATGTGCGTCTCAACTTCTATATCACACTGATTCAACAAATTCATGTCCAATGAAGAACTTTAGTCCATCAACAGTTCATACTTCATACACTATTACACCAGATGGTTCGGTTCAAATCTCCAAGCCTTGAAAATCAATATGATAAAACCAATTTCTAAACTTTCGTTCGTATGAAACTTGGTATCATTGTGTATGGATAATCCCTGTTCACAGAATCATATAGAACTTGGGCACACATTCATCACGTACTTATTGTGTGACACAAATTCTCATTCATCTCAACTCAACATTTATCTTGAACGAGAACTTCTGTTGAAGTCAAAGTCGGGAAATCTGCATCTATCACGAACCGTCTTACTCGAACTTGGCTAATTCACATACATCTTGGACCTCATATACACTAGAAATTTGCATCTAGTTACAAATCAAAAATTCACATACATCATGGACCACACAAATGTGGTGTCCAACTTGATTCCAATTTCACACGCGTCACGAACCTCACATACAATACAAACACTGCAACCAACTCAAACTTGGTGAATTCATGTTCAGTATGGTTCATGAACCACATGTGGAACACGAACTCACATAGATCAATTTCCTCATGACTTCTTGAAATTTGTGTCATATCACATGTTTATGTTGAACACATGCTATCATAAGCAATTATAATTTATACATTTGTTTTAGCAGGTCATTGCATCATATATGAGAATTAATAGTTACCACACATACAAGAACTATTGCATATGCCGTAGAGTTGTTTTTATTTATTCAACATGCTTATGATTATATAGTGTCTGGATAATCACTATTCATATTTCAGATTCTGCTATAGAAGCTACTGTTCAAATTTCTTAACCAGTAACAAGTATGGTACTTACAATCAGACAAAATATCTCGTTTTTTAGTACACTGAAATGATGACTTGTTCATTAAATTTATTTAATTAATTCCCTAATTAATCTGAGAAGTTTCTTATAGATTATTACAAAGAAGTAAAACCATTTTATATGCAGATATTCAATTTTTCAAGCTGCTCAGTCTATAACGCCTAACATTATCATGTTCCTGCCGCGTAATATGGACCTAAACGAGGTGGAAGAGCTTTCTTGGTTGTCTTCACCGCCCCTGAATCTAAAGGTATGTCTTATTGTGGATAAATTTATTTTTGGATTTATCATTGCGTTCTTTCTGTGTCTGGTACAGATGCCAAAGATTTTAATTATGGTGGGAGAGTACAATATGATAAACTAGAGTGAATGCAACACACATACTGGTGTGGTCAAAGTAACACGTGGAGTAACATGTATCCAATTAGCTAATTACGCACATTTTGGTTTTGGTCTTATTAATACATATGGGTGAGCTAATGTTGATGCAACTAGCAAATTCAATTGAGTTGTTATCTGATGTTTCATTTGTAATATACTCACTACTGTTTAGTATAAATATTTAGTACGGTTAATTATAGAAAACCCCCATGAACTTCTAGGGAGTTGCAATATACACCCATCAACTTTTTTTATTGCACTAAGCCCTATGAACTTTTGGGGAGTTGCACATAACCCCATGAAATATTTTATTTCACTAAATTTCATACAAAAATTTCTTTAATCCCCAAATTAGCACCATCTAACTCTAAAGTGTCACTGGTAAGCACACGACGAAAAAAAGATGAAAATTTTCTTCTTAGTTGCAAAAAAATACTATTCTATTATAAGGAAAAAAGATATTTCTTTTGGACTAAGGAATTAATTTTAATTTTTTTTGGCACATGATTGTCACATCAAATGTTAGAACTGATGGTGCTAATTTGGAGGTTAAATGAGAAACTTTCATGTGAAATTTAGTGAAATAAAAAAGTTCATGGGGGTTATGTGCAACTCCCCAAAAGTTCATGGGGCTTTAGTGCAATAAAAAAAGTTAGTGGGAGTTTTTTGCAACTCCCCAAATTTTTGGGGTTTTTCTTTTATTAACCCTATTTAGTAATCTTATTGGTGGGAGTTTATTGCAACTCCCCAAAGTTTTTGGGGGTTTTCTTTTATTAACCCTATTTAGTAATCTTATCGCTATTTATCACACATGCCCTACATATTTTGATTTTGTCTTGCATATTACGCGTCAATTAGCATGGACGCAATTAGCAAATAACTCATGCTTTGTTTTTTCCCCCTTCACAAATTAACATTACCGGGGAATTAGCACCGATGCAAATTATCAAATTTCATTGAATTATATTATATGAACATCTGTAGGTCATCATCATTATCGCTGACTACAAGTATTAAGTAATTTAACTGGGATGAAAAAGATTATAGAAATACTTATCAAAATTGATCACTGGAGGAGCCTGAGAAAAAAAATATGGCATGGCATGGCATATTATAAAAAGTAAGACACCTTGTGCTGTTGCTTGATCTATGATCATTTGTCAGTTGACAATGTAGTTCACAATCATTTTCGTTACCTAACGTTTTGTTCTGGAACTATTATGGACTTGTTTCAAAAGCATTAAATATGGCGTTAAATTGTTCACACTGTCAGCAGTGTAGGCAGACACTTTTTATCATCCCTATCTTGTTGTGTTCTTTTCTAGAATCACTCATGCCCTAAAACTAAATCCAGTGGTTTAACAATACTTTTCATTCATGCCATCTATCTCTATTTATTTTATTTGTGCCATTTCACATTTTTCTAACAGAACCAGAGAATAATGACCTCTAACATTTGTTGAACTCCAGATGGAAGAGAATCAAGTAAAAACTAGGACGAAAGGAATTACTGCCTACTTCGGTGATACTGCATCTGCGTTACCTGAGGACTCTTGATTGAGCTTGGCTCGCAACTTCAGAAAGGCTATATAAATCCTGGGTAGCGAAGTACATAGTTTATGGCGTTTATTGTTGTATAAGCGTTGTAAATTATTGTATTTCTTCTGTGACATGTATATGGAAGAATTTGATGAATTTGGAGACATCAGGTGAAATTTATGTAGACATTTAAAATTTACCCTAGGAACATTGCGTAATGTTACTTATCCATGGAAATTTAAAAATTTTCCTCTAGGTTCATTCAGCAAGGATGCTTCCCAACTTAATCTCAAAATCAAACTTCCCTGTTTATAAAAATTATGATATTCTATATTAACTGCAACGTGTAATTTGTCCTTCTGCTCGATGTCCCAAATTTTTTGTCATTAATCTTTGCCATTTTCAGATTATATAAAGCACCCTTGTAAATATGCAGGATTGTATGTATAGCAGCTCGTAAACTTTTTGTTTGGCTTCTAACCTATTATAATATGAGTATAGACCGAAGTCGTGCACACGCTTGCCATGACATAAAGTTTATTCATCTGCTCCCACCACGCTTAAAATAAATAAATAAATAAAATATAGAAATAAAATAAGAATATCACATCTCAAGCCAAAAATAGTTTCAATTCTGATAACAAAAGTTCAGCCAATTTGAATTTCACATGTACACACCCAAAATGGTTCAAGAAATCAAACAATATCATCATAATGAGTTACAACTGAACCATCCAATGCTTTAAGCAACTTTTGGGGTCAAAATAGTCTCAGTTTCCCCTTGTGTAGTGCAGAAAGCTCAGCCTTACAAAGTTCTTTCTCAGCTCCTGACAATCCTGAACATTGTTCTCTGCCTCCAAGCGTAACAGCAAAGTAGAGATAAACTGTGCATAGAACCACTAGTAGGATCAACATTGTTAGAAGAAACCGGTGGCGCTCAAAGAGAGCTGAACAGGATCCCCATTCTCGCTGACCTGAGGTTGGTTTCTTGACTGAGAATGAAAAGGATGGTGGGCTTCTCCTATGAGGTGATGATAAAGAATCGAGAACCATGGTTCTCAATGGATGTTCTGAAGATTTCCAAATCCTGCATAGAGTAATCAGTGTTTAGTGAAAAAAGAAAGGTAACTTTTTGGGCAGGTGCTTAAATGAGGAGAAGTTACGTCCATGCTTGTGTTTCCTTTTTAGTTGGGTATACAATGTTTCCTGTCTAATACGAACGCCTGTCCCGGGCAATTTGCAGAAAGTCAGGTCTAGTTTTAATAAATGTGGTCGATAATGTAAGTCAGGTCTACTTTTAATGGATGAGCAATTTGATCAATCTAGTTGCAACTGTAAGAAGAAGAAAACCAACCAAAAGAAGCAAGCCCAACATCAATACCCTTTTTTAAGATATAAATGCATTCTAAACAAATCGATTAACATCTAGTCACATATTTCTGTCCGCTGCTTACTGCCTTTGTTGCTCAATCATATCAGAGCATTATCCATTCTAACGAAATCAAGTAATGTCAAGTTACACATTTCTCTCTCATACTCAAGAACAAAGCAAGTAGAAGCAAATGAAGTAGTGCCGATTCAAATATTTTGATATATCAACTTGCCAGATCGATCTTGCAGAGATAAGGTCATCTGAACAAACATTAACTACAATTTTCAAACATCAGTAACTTAAGGAACATCAACTTGGAATGAGAACATGAATGCAACATGATATGACACATCAATCTAGAGAAAATGACACAGCAAAAGTGTTAAGAAAGTGTCTGGCACTTTATAACTCATAAATGGCCGCGTAGATTGAGCTGCACTCATACAGAAATAACTGTTTCATTCATAATCCTTGGTGACCACTAGAGTTCAGCACATAGCAAATATTGGTGAAACCTCTGTGCAGACCCTAAACACGAGGAAGCTGCTGCTTACAAAAGTTAAAAGATGAAAAGGAAAAGGTGCGACATCCATGTACGTTTTGAAGGTCAAATTATATAACGCAAAGATGGACTTGTCGACAAAGTTAGCTATATTGATCCCATTATTTATTAAATGATTATTAAGAAAGGTTTACCCGCACTCAATTTCCTACGGGTATTCCCTTTATCTGCATCCCTTTTGTAATTTGTTAAACATCAGTTTCTTCCTTATGATACCTATGTTACCAAGATGTCTATTGTCCAAATGATACCTTGCTTTTGATCAATTTTGATCCTTACCATTTCTTCACAATCCAATTTGAAACTTACACATCATCGTTTTACAATACATCCTTAACCTGGGACATTGTTAATAGATCATCATTAAGGAGATTCTATTTCCAATCTGCAGTAACTCAAGGTACTATTACAGTTCAGACAGGTTTCCCTCAATTTTCATTCTCTCCAGTATCCTCCTTATCAGGGTGTATGCTCCGTCTCATGCGATGCTGACTACCCAACAAATACAATGCAACCATCACTGTGTCCTCCCCCCCCCCTCTCTCTCTCTCTTTCTTGTCGCATATACCTAGGCTCAATCTTCTCAGATGAAGTATGCATCCAGCCAAAAACTGTTTTTCCATCATAAAATTGTTCAAATGTAACTATCATTCAAACTGACCACCTTTTTCACATTATACCCACACAACGACATCCTAGTCAAACCAGATACACCATAAAATCTAATCCTCAAATAGATAACAAATAATTCATTACTCATAAAGACAAACGAAAACAGAAAACCGGCTTCAATTTCATCAGACATAATGTAATTCTGAGCTAGGAAGGACATATCTCCTACCATCTGAAAGTCTTGCAAATAATTGCTCTCTTTTCCTCTGGAAGCAAACCCGGCCAGAGTCCACATGAGTAGCAATCTTTTTCATCAACCCTCCATCAAATACTGACAAAAAGATATTAAGTTGCCATATTTTGTAACATGAAAATTGCCAGCATAACCTAGTTCCAAGCCTTTTTGACTGACCTCCCTCCTCACTGATTGAGTTTGCCAACTATTTGACATCATAAACTTCTTTATATGCAAATCCCAAAACACATGTTCATACTTACAAACACATGACCACTTTCATCACCTATATACATGGTTAGTCCAGTAGCAAATCCTCTCCACAAGTATGTTATAGACATTCTATTACAGTTTACCAACAACATCAAAGATCTGATCCTGCCATGAACTTTCTATAGCTAATCACCAACAGGATTAAAAAAATGCAATACTTAATCAAGTTGCATTTTCTGCAACCGCTTACAGAGAATCCTATCATTGTTTGAAACTATACAAAGTCAAAAAAAAGAAGCGTGTAAGTACATGCATACATGCCCCTCTTAGAAATCTAATTCTATGTCATAGAACCTTACAGTAATATATTTGTTTTCAAATGTAAATTATTACCTTAGTTTTGATGGTAGTTAGCCACAGTCTTTCAAAACACCTGTTAATATCATCTGCCTGTCTCCCACGACCACAGCCAGATACAATATCAAACAACTAAATTTCTAGAGGTAATGATGATGGTATTCGAGAACCATGCACACGTCTCGGAAATTAATTCTCTCCCTCCCAACATATTTTCCACTGATGGACTCTCATTGCCAATTTTGTGAGTTCTAACTGAAGATTATGATTCTAATTGATGGTATTTAATAACTATAAAAAGCATAATTCTCCTTTCTCCATCCACTGCCACGTATCTTCCTAGTCTCATCTAATTTTCCTTAAAGTACATCTATGTATAAGGTAGACATGGTTCTTTATTAATTATTACTTGAAAAAGATCATAGACCAATAGCCACCTCTTGCATGCACACTCCAAAATGTAAAATTGGTTCCAACATTCCAAAATTCCAAACTAACAGCACTACAGTAGTTAGTCAGTTACAATAGCTCAATAATGTCAATTAACAAAAAAAATATAGGAATCGACATGAAGTGGCTGTAGGTGCAAGCCCCATATTCATAATGAAAGACTCAAAACTTTGGGTCTAGAGAACCACACAAACTGAGAAGTGTAGATATGGGCACATAAAATGACATGGCATCAATCACAATGCTTTAAAAATAGGATTGAAGGTGAAAACACATGACATGACAATTATTCAGAAGGTTCAGACACATATTTCTAGCGATGTCATAAGTTTAGTAACATACAATGATTACATATGTTTTAAATTTTAATACATTTCTCACAAACCTTGCAGAAGGGAATAGGCTTTCTCTCTTCAACATTGAGAAAGCATGTGATCTAAATTCTCACCTTTTATATTTCATTTGAAGTATAATTTTTTATATATAAATGGAAGTTAATAAGTATTTCAAATATGTAAAGTAAATAAGAAGTGTTTGAAAACATAGTATATCTGTAAAATAAAGTGGCTCACAAGTGTCCTCAAATAAAAATTGTGTTATAGAACTGAGAATACATTAGAAAAGCCGGAAGACAGTTGGTCTTGGAGTATCCAAAAGTGTGATGTTTAATGTATGTGGTTTATTGTGGAAGTATTCATGCTAGATAACATACAACACATAACTTGAAAATAAAATATGTGAGAACAAAACTCAGAGGTATGAAAAGATAGATCAGTGATATGAGACTGAATTCAAATATTTTTCCTTAATTCACGTGTAAAAGAAAAACATCACACGTGTAAGATGTAATTATTGTACTGTTACAGAAAAACCTCAAATGTATAGTATCAACTGACATGACTAATCTGACCCAAATGAAAAGCATAGGTAGTCCAAGCTTCGGCTAACTAATGCATTAGGTACAAAAGAACAACTCTTCATGCACAACAAGGGTAATTTTTGTCCGTTTTCAGACATCTATCGTCAAATCAAATATAAGTAACAAAAATAATGATCCTATAAGATATTGCTACAGATGTATCATGCATGACTCTATTCGGACATAAATAAACATTGTTAAGGTCCCTCTTTATGCAATCCAACACTAGAGGTACTCAATCTTTCGTAAAATTAAACCATGAATTATATATAGGCAACGCTTCTATTTTCTGACATGATTTAGGGTTTAGGATCGTCTTCGCAAGCAAATACTCAAAAAATATAGCTTTCAAAATTCTTTGATGTAAAATATGCGCTATAGAACTTGCTTCTTTTGGATCTATAACAGCCGTGGGTCTGAAATCATAAATCATCAAAATATCCCTCAAATTCTCGTCTTCATCTCATTACAAAAAGGGATCTTGGCTTTTAAGATTTTTCTTTCTTCTTCTTTTCAAAATAACAATACTCTCTCCACAAGCAACTGAAAGTTAAGATAACAAAACAAAAATTCAAATAAAATTCGGGATCTTGCATTTTACGCAACAAGGAAACAAAAATAATTACCTTGACATCGAAGAAAATCAATCAAATTAAACAATGACTGTTAAGGCAAACAATCACAGATCTTAAACAGAGGAAGGAGCTGAAGAAATTCATGAGATAAAATTAAATGAAATTCATCAGGAAAGAAGAAAAAGGAGAAACCGGTGATCGATGGTTTTAACGTACCGGCGAGTGCTGTCACTCTTTGGTGTTTGCTCGATGGAAAGAGAGAAGAAGAGAGGATGGGAATGGCAAGCACGCTTTAAGCAGGTCGGATCCGGGGTGGGCGGGTCTCAAGCCTTCTTTATCCGAATCCGTACCTAGCTTTTTGGTTTATATAGTTTCCTCAATTGGAAAATTTTTCTTAATTTTAGATTGGGAAGATTTGTGTCGGATCCATTTGGCATACCATAGTTTTAGAAGAATTTTAAGAATTACTTACTTGTCCCTTGGATACAGTAGAAAGCCATGTAGGATAAAAGAGATTATGATATGTGCCTCTGTGACGAATTCTTAATCACTACAATCAGTATATAGTATCGATATGATGCATATTGGCACAAAAAACTTCAAAGTTAATGCCATAATCAGAGTGTTGTATATGTGTACTAGAATGTCATATCAATGCAACCATCAAATTTAATTCATGTTGAGAGATACGTGTAGTGTTTCTACTTTCTTTCTATATATTTTTCATGGAGAGTCGCTCGTAGAAAAAAATTAGCATTTGGCAAGGCTGAAGGGTTGAGAAAGGCTGAATTGGTTAATCTTGGAGTAAACTTAAATTAATTGATAATATTTTCTTTGAGTAACTATTCTCTATTTATCAATATAAGGGAATTATTTCTCCATCCATCTAAAATAGACTAATTAATCCGCTCCATGTAGAAAGGTTATCCGCTTTTTCCCCCTTTGGCCATTTTCTTCACCCATCTCACATGGTTATTTTCCCATCTGAAAATTTTAGAAAATTATTACTTATTATTTTCGATTTATGTTGAATATTGAATATGTTGATTTGATACTTTAACATCTATGAGTTCTTTTCCTTTATCTTCTTTTCTCGTTTGAAATAGCATAGCGGAGGGAGTTCCTTTCGAGCACCCAAAAGGACATGCTTTAATCCAAATTAAGACATAGCCACAAAAGAAATTATTAACAAGGTAAACTATTTTAAGGTTACGTATGGACATGGCCAAAGACAACTTAGTAGACTACTCTAAGGGCTGTTTGTTTCAGCATTTTTATAGAAAAGTAATATGATTTGGGTCTGACAATGACAAAATTATAAATAAATAATTCTTTATGAATCCTATTCTTGAGTTTGGTTCCCCAAAAATTTATAGATTTCAGAATCTATAAAATTGAAAAAGTATGCTGATTTTATAGAAATTCAAATCCTAATGATTTGGACGGATTTGGGACAGAAAGCTGACGCGTTTGTACTATTCTCTCTCTCTCTCTCTCTTTGTTTTCCGGATTCTGTTTCTTCACAAACCCTATATTATTATGAGACAAAATCCTATTCTCATTCCAAACCAAACTAAATAATAGGAATTGGAGGGTTTCTATAAAGTTGGATTCTATTTTTTTCATGTTATGAAACAAACATAAAAAAAAAAGGATTCCATGACAACATAAAATTGTCTTAAAATTTTCTATGGATTAGCTAGGAATCCATAAAAATATGGGATTCATAATCCTATTCTTGCCCACTATTGAACCAAACGTATGGACAAACTATTTTAAGGTTACCCAAAAGGAGTCAGTTTTCACAAACGCCATTTGGCTAAACGTACTGTAAAAGGTTGACATTTTTCAAGTTTAATGGATTGTTTGAAACTGATAGATTGAAAATAGTTAGACTTTTTCAGTCATATGGAATCAAAATCAAACTTGATTGTCGGTATATATACATGTGTTTGGTTTGATGTAACTGGAATCCATGTTGTTATAGCTAACATAAAAAATCTAAATATTTTGTTTGGTTTAATGTTGTTGCAACGCTGAAAGGTTATTGCTTAAAAAAAGGGGAAGAAACGAGTGTGCTATGCACACCACTTAAATTCAAGAGCATTCAAATACCAAGAGTTAGAACAACATGGTGTTGCAAAAAACACTAGCTTTGTTTAGCAACACGACTAGAACAAGGCCAAACTTGTATTATTCTCAACAAGGCTAGAGTCGATCTAGGGTAGGGAGTGGTTCAACTCTGGCCTGGTTTTGAGGGCTAAGGATGAACTAGAAAAGGCGAGGCCACATTTGGCCCGGATTTTACTAACACAAAATAGATTAAAACTGGGTCAAGTTTGAACTGGACCCATTTTTAATGAGTTGCCAAATAGGCCCTTATGGTTCTAACTCGTCCAAACTAAACTCTCGGTTGACATGTTCAATTTAATGGATTACTTGAAATTGATTGATTAGAACTAGTTTCAGGCCCGTGCGATGCACGGATTTGTTTAATATACAAAAATTAATATAGCAAAAGAATGCAAAATAAAACAGTAATAATATATAAGTAGTCATAAATAATACAACCTAAATTGCATATATAGTTTAGAAGATTAGAAAGTTTGGAAAACTTGAATCAGTTTAAGATCATATATAGTTTGAAAAATATAAATGTGTAAAAACAGTATTCAGAAATATGGGGGGGAGTTATTTTATTATTTATAAGGTAGAAAAAATTTAAAATTAAACTAAAATGTCAAAAAATTACCAAAAATGGGTAAACTTAAAAAAAATTAAAAAAGGAAAGGTTTGGAAAAATGTAAACATGGGAAAATAATATTTGAACATTTTGTGCGAGTCATATCAATATTTAAACCATTGATAACTTTCCAAAGAAATTGGTAAAATAAAAGTAAAATGTCAAAAAAACAAAGAAAATATAATACCTATCATATAAGGGGTGTATGACATCCACCTGACGAAAATAAGAAACAATGTAATACCTAAATCAAATAGAGTCAGTGTAAGATAATTGTATATGATTGCAATTTAAGAACATCATCAAACCATAAGAATACGACATAAGAAGTACTCAATTAGCAATTTAAGAACATCATCAAACCATAAGAATACGACATAAGAAGTACTCAATTAGTTAAATAAAATACAACTTTCACATACTCTATATAAACGAAGTACTCAATTAGTTAAATAAAATACAACTTTCACATACTCTATATAAACATAAGAAAGAACAAAAATATTGAAGTAAAATGCATTGCCATTGGAGAAAATAACAAAACATAATATAAGAAAAATACATTCTCATAAGATTATATTGAGTTCATCACTTACCAATAGTAAAGATAAACAAAGAAACAAATAGATCTGAAACAGAAAAATATAATTATATAGAAAGAAAAGAATAATACACTTGTATAGGCAGAAAAATATTTAATTCTATCTTTGCCTTTTGTATTCATTTTTTCCTTTTGTTAATGAAAGAGTGAGCAATCTACCAATCTGTAGAAAAAACCATAACATTCCAAAACAGCAGTAGAAAAAAATGACAACCTAAGATGGGATGAGCTATTTTCATGGAAGAACTTAAATCTGTCAAATTAGCATCAGCTATGTCAAATTAGAGTGCATCAACTATGTCAAATTTTAGCCAAAAGCAACATGTTAGCTTGCATTTATTGTCATATTTCAGCAATTTAATTTTACAAACATTTAATGTACATCTTTGCATTTCTTCACCCAGCAGATTTAAGTCTTGTACATCAAAGCGTTCAAGCCAACAACAACGTTCAAAACTTCGAATCTTTATCTTGCAAACAATAATAAAAACACAAACTCAAATCATCATTTATTGATATTCATAATTAAATAAACAAATAACTAAAAAGTGTACCTCATAAAATGACAAAGAAAAAGTGAACTTGTCTATAAAAATGTACCTCATAACATAATAAAATAAACAAATAACTCTGAATCTAAAAAAAAGTACCTCATAATTAAATAAACAAATAACCAAAACCAACGGCACATACCTCCGCCTCATAAAATAACTTAAAATATGATTTTTTAAAGTATCGACAAAAATAGTTAATTTGCTTGCAAGAAAAAGAGCATTAATATCATTAAAAATAATCTAATAGGATATAATTACTGTTCTCAAGCCTTGATAGAAGGAACTAAAATAAAACAAAGAGTTATTTCACTTTAATATCACAAAGTTTATACCAATTGAACCTTAATACACCAAACTTACTTTTTGCCCAAAAAGATCCCAAAGTTCTCAAAAATTTAACTTTGATTGTGTAAAAATAACTGTGGTATCCAAGTTCAGATTAACTTTAAAATAAATACAAAAAACTAAATAATTTCTAGGGATTTAACTTCAAATGAGAAAGAAAAGATATTTATACAGAAAAAATATAACACAAACTTACAACTAATGGATGAAACAACATACCCTTTTCTAGGAATAAATTAAATTACTTCACTCTCCATGTTATAGAAACAATCCTCTCTCAACAACCTCTACAGTCATCTTAAATGTTATCTCAGCCTACACACTCTTAAGAACTTCTACATGCTTTGAACAAAAGGACTCCATGTACTAATTTTTTTTAAAAATAAGCACATTTCGATAAAAAATTCCCAAACAACATAAAATCACCAAAAAATGGAAAGGAAACTTATTTTCTTGTATTGAATCCATGGAGAGTTCTTAGCAAAGCGCCAAGCTTAGAATCAAATTATGCGACCTACAACATAATTAAATAATTGCACACCGGAGAATTATTGCACATCTTAAGGGAAAAATCTCTTTTGAGAATATGAAAATGATTTCCCTTTTTTAAGGCTAATATTGATATGAATTGCTTACTTATGTTACAATCAATTCAAAGGTAATATAAAATGTTCGTTTCTAAGCATATTTTGTAATTAACCTATAGAGAACAAAATTCTTAAAAGGTTGGTCAATTTAGATGTGAAACCTTTTTGAATCGTTCACATTAATCATGGCTGATTGTAAATGCTATGAAACATAAGAATGCAAATAATGGTTATATATACCAAGACTGCAACACTACCTTTAAATATAGGTTAACCTTTGGTAATTAAAAAAATTAATAGAGCCAATTTACCTACAAGCAACACTACCTTTAAATATAGGTTAACCTTTGGTAATTAAAAAAATTAATAGAGCCAATTTACCTACAAGCTTCTAAAGTTGAATTAAATTAATAATCCAATTGCATTAGCCTTAGTTAAAGACTTAATTAATTTGAAAAATCCACTAAAATCACACAATTAAAGAAGATAAAACTACCAGAAAGATGAAAACAAACTTGTAGTACTCTTTCCAACTGGACATTCACAAACTCGAATAGTATTGGCAAATGTGTAACAATTAGAGATTCGTAAAAATTTTAGTAAGAAAAGGTTTTTGGCATTATCGGTACAGTATAAACAAAATAGTAAAAGTGATTAAAAAACAAAGTGAAACGAACCTGCAATACTCTTTTCGATCGAACCTTTGCAGATTTTATTGATAGATAAAGTAAGCTTTAATTAAAATGGGCAAGGGGAGTTACATTATTGTTCTAACTGCTGATGATAGAATCTCTAATGGATAGGGATAGGGATTAATTATAATACAGGAAAGTTGAACACTTTTTAAGATAAAAGAGGTCGGTTAGACCAGCAAAAAGATCACTATTTGCATGGACGGGGAAAAACATAGATAAATTTAAAATAAAAACAATAATTTTGTGTTGAATTACCTTCTAGTTATTCCTTTTATTTTTCTAGAATATCAAGCTGCAGGATATAATCTGCCTCTTCCTTCTCTAAACTGCAAAATATTCAAAATCCACAACTCTAAAATTGTTTTTATCTATGTTAGTACTTGGCTTCAAACGTTAACTTGAGTCTCTTTGCAATTGTTTTCTGCAACTTCCTCTTCTTTGCTTTAGTTTCCTGCACAGTAAGAATATAAAAGCAAAGCACTTTTGTTCATATGTTAAAAAATAGATATACTTAGTACAACAACGGGAAAAAATTGACCCAAAAATATTAAGAAAAGATCAAAAAGAATTAAACCTAAAAAGAATCAACTCAGACACGCATCACGAAGGATAAATGCAAAGCACACATATAAGAACACCGCTATAAAAGTTGAAAAGATCTTTTAATTTTAGAACCGAAGGAGACTACCCAAATTGATGCCTACCATGGAGAAGTCAAAATTGTACATAACAACAAACCCCAGATCTCTAAATCAAGAAACAAAGATAACCCATCAAACAAATAAATTCCTAACCCTATAACAACGGATCATATGTACATAAATAGATTTTTAAAAGAAAAAGAGTAGATCTGAAGAAAAAAGGAAAGATTTTTTTATTACCATGAACAATTCATCATAATCATGCAAAAGGGTCTGATGCTTGAACCGAGCCCTCGCTTCCTCTGAATCCATCATCAAAACCCTGCTCCATTTCTTCATCATCTTCAACAAATTGCAATCTGAATCCCAAATAAAGGAGGAGAGAAAGAGGAAAAGTCTATAATAATAATAATAACGTGGAAGGAGGGGAAAGATCTAGAAAGTAATAAAAAAATCAAAGATTTGAATTTAGGATGAGGAGGGTGTTGGCCTTCTTGTTTTGATGATGATTTAACAAACAATTTACATCTAATATTGTTTGTCTAGCGTTTGTGTTTTGTATTCATTGTAGACAAACAATATGCTGGAGGATGGATGGAATTGCGCATTAACAATCAAATCTGTTAGAGGTTGGATGGATTGCGTCATAACGATCATATCAAATAGAGGTTGGCGAATATAGTGGTTGAAGCAATGTAATTCAAAGTTAAAGATTCAAGTTCAAGCTTCATCCGCAAGTGTATCAAGATGGAGCTTCGTTGAAGATCACAAGCTTGGGTAAATTTAGTTTTAGGTTTATATTATGTGTGTTAGTACTTTAAGCTCAATCATATACACACATACACGTTTTGGTTATGTATATATATAATTATATATATACATATATGTTTTTGTTTGATAGTTTTTAATTTTTAATATGAAATAATTGAATATAATTAGAAAACATATTTTTATTTCATACTTACATGCATATATATGATTTCATCAATATCAATTTTATTTAGTTCAATGAAATCATGTTTTAGTGCATTATATATGTATTTTGATAAAATACTATATTCATTATTTATAAACTTCATAACAATAGTTTACATCTTTCTTCAAGTCTATAAAATTATTTTGTAATGTTTCAAAATATGGCTAAGCTAAAATGTCAAAACTCATGTGTTTACATTTTTATGTTTTGGACTATTTTACAAAATAATAATATTTTACATTTGGGAGGTTCTTTTTGAAAACCAGTTTTTGTAGCATGTTTATTATCATGTCTACAATCATTTCCTAAAGTTTTATATTTTTCTGAATTTGTTTGATATTTTTAAACAAGGTTTTAAAATTAGAAAAACAGTTTTCAAACCTGAAAATTCATGTATCAGTTTGCGGTCGACCGCCACGATCGACCGCCACGGTCGACCGCCCTTAAGTCCAAAGACCCAGTATGATCTTTTTTGGCTCACGGTCGGCCGTGACGGTCGACCGTCACGGTCGACCGTCTGTTTTCCAGAGCTCAGTTTTGCCTTTTTGTTGCTCGCGATCGACCGTCGATCTGACCGTTGGGTTCCAACGGCTAAATTCTGAGCTGTTTTCTCTTGGGCTTTTTGGTCATTTTGATTGGGTTTTTGCTAAAGTTTTGAGTGGGTATAAATACTCCATTGATCTCATCTTTCATGATAACCTAAGAAAGTTTTTTAAACAAGAGTTTAACAAGGGTTTAAGTTTGTTTTAAGTTTGTTTAAGAGTTTGGTTTGTGAAGAATTGCACAAGAGGAAGTGGAGATCAATTCATTGATATTTGAGCTTCAATCCATCTCTCCCTCTCACTCTTGTCATTTATTGGAGAAGTTTTCTAAACTCTATCTAACTTTACATTTTGTATTGTTTGATTATCATTCTATTAAGCTAGTATTTATATTTGAGTTTAGTTTGATTTGATTTGATTTCACTCATTGTTTACACACACCTACTTGAGCTTATTGTATTTTCATATATAGTATATTTGGGTTGGTGAGAGTTGTAATAATTAAGTGTGAGCTTTAATTGAGTTCTCGCCTTGTATTAGAGAACAAATCATTTATTGTTATTGTGAGGTGTGGAGTGTAGACGTCGATCGGTGAACGTTAAAAACCGACATTGTGAGTGTTTGTGAACGTTGATCGGTGAGCGTTGAAAATCGACATTGTGAGGTGTAAATGTTATTCGGGTGAGCGTAGAAAACCCGGTTGTGATAGTGGATTTCTCACTGGGAGTAGGGAGCGAAGACGTAGGACGAAAGGTCCGAACTCCGTGATCATATCGTGTGTTTGAGTTTGCTTTGGCACACTTCTCTTATGTTTATATTTTTTGTCGCCATTGTCCATTGCTCATTATTTATATCATTCACTATCTTGTTTATTTTGTTTATCCTTGTGTATATCACTTATCCTAGCTCACATATCTTGTTATATTTTATACTTGCTAGGATAACTTGTTAATTAGTTTTAATTAGCATAAAATCGGATTATATTAACATAAGACCCTAATCACCCCCCCCCCTCTAGGGTCTAACAGAGAGAAGATATTAAATGAGAAATTTAAACTTGAGAAGCCAAAATGAATGCATATCATAGGAAAATGAAGTAGAAGATGAAAGGTTGTTAAAGATACAAAATATTGTTATTTTCAAAATAATGAATAATGTTTTTTTTTTTTGTTGACAAGGGAACCTTGGTCAGTACCTCCACTTAAACTCCCTTTGGAGTCCGCCGCACCCTGGTTCGAACCCCCCCCCTTAAGTACCAGGGGGCTCATCCCCAGCACATGGGCGAGCGGTGTGTGGACCGGGCGAGACGCGAACCAGAGACAGCGGGTCGAGCCGCTACTGACCAAGTAAACCCTGGGTCCCCCCCACCCCCTAAAGCCAGAGGGACCAGGTGAATGTGGCAACAAGGATTCGATCTCCTGACCAACGGGCACGAAGCATGGGAGAATCTCTCTCCCCATGGGGAGCTGACCAGGAGACCCATCTTGCGGGGGTAATAATGAATAATGTTGGGAACCGAAATTATGAATTCTTTAGAGATTGACACGTGGCGGAAGAGGCTTGTCATGTGGCTTTTTCAAGGGGAAGAGATGTCATGTGGCGTTTTTAATGGGAAGAGATTTTAGATATAGAATATATATAAGTATGTTTTTTCTAGTAAAGTGATCCAAAATGATTAATAAGAACTAGGGAAAACCTACATGTATTGTTTATGTCGTTGAAATATGAAAGGGAAACTTAAGGGAACTTAAGGATTTCGTGACTATAGTCTCTTACATTTTCATGTAATGAAATTTGTCCCTCAAATCACTAAAGGTGATATCATGTACTTCAATTATTATACGCTGGCCAAAATTAGTCTTTTAAATTCTTATTGGTTGTCTCAAAATCAATCCCTTGAACATTTGAGATTGCTACTAGGTTCTCTCATTCTCATTAGTTGTTCAAGATAATCATTGTTCCCTATTTGTTATGAATTGTTCCAAATAATCCCCATTAGCAAGAGAAACAATAGTTAGATATAAGAATTGGGCGACTCAACAGCAATTTCAATAGCTCGAGGGATTGATTCTAAAATATTAATTAAAGAGACTAAGATGATAAAGGGTTTTTTCGATCTAGCCCCCAAATATTCCATACTTTGAATTAGTCCCCCAAATCATTATCTTTTGAAACTAATCCCAAAATCTTTAAGTTTCTGAAATTATCCGGCCAAATCTTTTGAATATTTTGAAAATAGTCCTTATATCTAGCTGCTAGGGCACTCGTTTCAAAATACTTAGAAGACTTAGGGCACTCGTTTCAAAATATAAGGATTTGGGCGACTAATCTCACAATACCTAAACATTTGGGTGGCTAAATGAAAAATATATTTGAGGGACTAATATAGAAAAATTCTATTAAGAAAAAAGAAACTATAGTCTATCTACAGAAGGAGCCCGCTACCGCTGGGACATTTTAACCCAAGCAGGTTCCAGATATCTCCAATTATCTCTCTCTCTCTCTCTCTCTCTCTGCCCGTCCCTCAATGGCGGGAGAGGGAGACGACGAAGAAGCAAACATAGAGCAGCAGTTAGAGCAGCAGCTGAAGGAACAGAAGGAATCTCTATCGGCCGTCGACGATGCCCTTGCCTCCGATCCCTCCAATCCTGAGCTCCTCTCTGTACGCTTCTAAACCTAGGGTTTTCTCTTCGTAATCTCGTGATTAGGGTTTCTTGTGTTTCGATTTCTCAGTTACATTATGCTCTCAGTGAACGACTAGCGGGGGTATGGAGATTTTATTTACTATTATCTGAGCTATCTGTCACTTTCTAGAGGGGCGAGCTTAAATATCATCAATAAAAAAAAAATGTGTGCTACTATTTCACCCTGTGGCTTTCCAATGATTTTATGGTACCCATAGTTGAGTTTTGATAAACGTCATTGTATATTTTACTAAAGATATGAGCTTGGGTATCGGGTGCATATCGGTATATGACACATCATTCCCCCGACTGGTGCACCGAATTTCCTTAATCTTGGTACTCTAAAGCTATATCCCAGTATGTCCATATGGCATCTAAATAGCTGATTGGTAATAATTGAAACTGAATTCATAAGTCAATGAAAGTGAAGGAATACACAGAGATGCGCGCATATGCTCGTACCCACTTGAGAAAGAATCTCAATGTCGCGAGAATCACTTGTAGTTTATATCACTTCCCGTTTGTTTAATTGAATGGTACGTACAATTACTAAAGAAACAAGTTCAGATTGTGAGTCTGAGATAAGGTTCACAGATATTTGCATTTGGTGCATTTAGCTGATAAATATGAGGTCTGCGATCATCAACCTAATAAAGCATAGGTTTCCGATAATGCTTAAAGCTTTTTCTGTATGGTGCTTTCATGAGCAAACAACTTTGCGTTTATATTTCATTTTGCTGGTGTTTTAATTAAACATCAAGATAGTTCTTCAAAAGTAATCACGAGATTCTATTGATAAACTTGAAATTATACTTGTAATCTGCAATTTCTCAATTGCAACTCCACTAGATGAATTATTGTCAGTAAAATTAATTGATTCCCTGCTTTTAAATTTAGGACAGTAGCAACTGCAAGGGGCTCAGGTGTTCAATGTTTCTGTACTGATTAGATTTAAAAAGTATTATGGCTTTGTCACTGCAAACTTTGGTCAATGATGGCCCATGCCAAATTTTTCTTGATGGAAATTTGAGCAATCATTTTCTTTAAACTGCTCTTTCATTTATGTTTCTCCTGGCCATTAATTGTTCTTTTGTTGTGTTTCCTATTCTTTTTCTTAAAGGTTCACGAAGAACTCCTCCTAGCAATCAGAGATGCAAAGGAAGGGCTGCTTCACTTGAAACGGTCAAGGTTGCTGAAGGAAGCTGATGCAATATTACTGAAACAAGAACCAGACTCCATATTTGAGGATGCCAAGGTGGAGACCTTGGATCCAAGCCAGGTTGAACCAGAACCACTGGAAGCAGAAGATAACTCTGAAAATTATTCTGTTGGGTCAAAGTGCAGGTTTCGTCACACAGATGGACGCTGGTATAATGGTCACATTCTAGGTTTTGAAGGCACTGATTCTGCAAGGATTTCATTCCTTACTCCTACTTCTGAAAGCATGCAGGTAAATACCGCTCTATTTACCATCTTGTCTGATCACTCTTTTTTTAGTTTAATAACCAGTATTAGTTTCCTCTACTTTTTGCCTGCTGCTTAATTACGGTCATGTGTATTTAGTATTTACGTATTCTATGATATAATTGATAATTATTTAACTTGATGGGATATACCTAGTTATTTTCTGATGGTTTGGGGTTGAATTATCCCCGTTCAATTTCGATGTGAGAAATTAAATGTAAGTGCCACTCCAATATATATAGGTAATTTTATGTTATTTAAAAGTAATTTTAAAGTCAGGAATCTAGCATTTTGAAGTTTTTTTTCCCATGTATCAATCGGCATGAAATGGATGACTAAGGGCATGTTTGGCAAACCCATGAAAGCGGACCAGGTCTAGTCCTGGTCCAGTTTGGGGATGTTTTTTGTTTGGGAAAAAGCTGTGCCAACTCTGGCCCGGTTTTTCTAGTTCAATTTTAAGCCCTTAACTAGGCCAGACTTGGACCAGCACCTCCCCGGTTTAATCCTGGCCTGGTTACGTCGTTACGTTGATATATTTGGCTGTCGCAGTTTTTACTTCTTTGCCAATCAGACCCTAAAAGTAGCATGGCACCTAGATAAATGATTTTGAATAAATAGTTATTGATCCAATAATTCAAACATGATTTTAAGATCTCTTGGACACAATTTCATTATGTCTCAAATACTGTGGAGCATTTAACTAACCAACTCGCTATTTAAACCATTTATTTTGTACCTGTTGATACATGAACAAAGAACTTGAAAATGCTTGATTTTTGGGATTTAGGCAGTTTAAGCAATATTGATGAAATGGACTTTTTAAAGAGTGCATCTAGTGCTAGTTTTAACAAACACATATTCTGGGATGGATTCAATTTAGATAAGGCCAAAATAAAAACACCAATATGTCAATAATGCTCCCTTTCCTGCATCATTTTCTTTTATATTCATCCCCCCCCCCCCCCCCTTTTGCCCTCGCTCCCCTCTTGCTTTTCTTCTTCTTCTTCTTCTGTTAAACTACCAAATCTGAGTTCTAAATCAATTCCTATAATTACTTTCCAACAGATAATTTTGAGAATTGTTTGAAAAAAAAATCTCAAATTTCTACATTTTTGAAAAAGTTATGCCTTCAATCTAACTAGAGCTGTCTATCTGGAGTAAGTTATATTCTAATAGAAATGTGGATATTATTTTAGGTTCTGACTGCAAATTAGTGCAAGGATGTAACTATTAAAAAGACTAAGTATTGACTGTTATAAAATAATTAGAGATGTTAAGAGGGTGCAATACTGCAATAATCCAAACAAAGATTTGAGTTACTAAAAAATTATTAGAACCATTGATTAAAAAGTAACCATAGGCTTAGAATTGAGTGATATTGCAACAATATTCAGAAGTTAAGAGACTAACATCAAATGGAGAGTAATACCCCCCCACCCCACCAACCAAAAAAAAAACCCACAAAAAAAAAGGAAACAACACCCGCCCGCCTGTTCGCCGTCACGACCACCAAAATATAGAAAGATGCATACAAATTCACACAAACATATCCGCACCGATAAACAATTCATCTCCCTGTAAAAGAAAACCACTGGTCCACATGCACACAGCCAATTCCACCTCAGCCCAACATAATAAATAAATAAATCGCTGGTAATGTGATAGGCTGTCATATTTATATCTGTGATCCATTACATTTACTTGGAGATATCGATTGAATTCTGAATTATGGCACACATATTTAGACGGTGTTGAATTAATTATCTGTCTATGACGAACTGAATATGTAATGTATTTAATGACAACAAGTCCAGATCAGATATGAATCTGACTAAACTCTACGGAACTCCTGAACAGGCTTTGACAACTGTCAATCTAGTAAATAGACATCAAATACATAAAATTTAACGAATACCATTGCAGTGCTAAATTACTACTAGATAACCTTTTTCATCTAGCTTTGTTGATTATTTATTAGGTGAAGCTAGGTATGGCTTGCCCAGTAGACATGCATATCGACTAATTTTATGTAATGTAGTATGTGTGGGTGATGCCACAGAAAGGTCAGTTGAAACTTGAAAGCAATGGAACAACATGGTTGAGCACTATATTAGATCCAACCAACATCAACAAGAAAAGCAAGCTCGAGAGTAATGCTAGTATCTGATGCTACTTATGTCAGTGGACGTACAAATACAATACCAGTACCGGTGTACATGTCAAGTGGAATAAATACATCCTACAACAGTGAATAACTTGAACGTACTCTTTAAATTCTTGATTTGTTTGTTATTTTGTTTTACTGAATGTTTGGTTGCATGTGTAAGGAAGGGAAACCCCTGAAAATTACTCCTGTTTGTTTTTAATTAATGCACACATTTCACTCCTTATATCCTCCTAGCACTCAGTCATGCCTGTCAATTAGGCACTTTCCATTGGTAGGAAAATAGTGAATATTTCAAATTGCATGTCAGTTGTGGATATATTTCAGGTTATCCTCTGGTTTGATTGTGAACTTGTTGTGTGCATATTTTTCTTAGAACCGTGGAAGGATCATCGTTATAGTTCGGTGACACTAATATAAAATCTGCCCAAAAGTGCAGATGTGCAAGTTCTTTCTACAGCAACGGTGTCGATTTGGTGGTAACTGCCGCTTGTCACATGGTATGTTGTCTTTTTTAGGTTATAGCTTATGGAGCTGTACCTTGTCCAGACATTTTGTTCTCTTTGTTTGGCATTATTGGTTACTAGATTACGAGCACATGCATAATGCACGTGCTAGAAAGTAATGAATTACATAGACCCGTCTTATTGAATTAGTTCAATATTAAAAAAGCCTAGAAAAAGAATCAAGTTGCACACGTGCATAATGCACATGCTAGAAAATATTGAAGATACGTCTTATTGAAATAATTCAATATTCAAAAAGTCTAGAAAAAAGAATCAAGTTGCACATAAAACTATGCATTTATGAATTACTTCATCTAACCCATACATCTTTAAGTATATAATATGAAAAGTAAAATTTATGATTCTTAAAACATTTCAGTGTAAAATATACATTCTGAATAACACTACTAATTTTCTAATCTATCACTCACTAAAAGGAGTGATAGGGGCATAGTACATGAATGGAGTGAATGAATATAAGCCATACTTTTGCTTCCTAATTTATATTAATTAAGTTCAAAACAAGATTTCCATAAGAAATATAGATTCTCATGGAGGTGTGTCAGTATCAAAAGGTCATGTCATCATTTAATGCGTCATTTTTTTATTTCCAAATTGCCCTCTTGCATTTATCTCTTTCCTAATGCATATGTATCTTTTGGAATTTTAACTCATTACTTCACTTCTCACTACCCATAGTCTAATCTTTATAGATCAGTATAGATGATAAGATATCCTTATTGTCAATGAGCATGAATGAACATTGATGACTAATCACTGTCTTCTATGCTTGGATATTCAGTAAATGTAAACTAGTATATCTCATTAGATACATGCAGATGTTCATATCTGACGATTAGATAAATTCGCAGGATTCAATGTTCCTATGTCATCGCTGAAGCAGTATGTTCCAACAATATGGCAGCAGTCTCTAGTGGGCTCAAGCATACTGGCAACTTCAGGTGGCCATTCTGGTATATGGAGGAAAGCTGAGCTTGAAGCCTGGGACGAAAATCTCTGTCTGGCTCAAGTTGTATTCCAAGATGATGGAACCTCCGCAAAACTCAGTAGCGATTCTCTCACAATATCAGAATACGCCCAAATGAGCGATGAGAGCGACGGAGAATCTGATAGCCTGAGCTCAGACGCATCAGAATCAAATGACGATGATTACACAACAAGTCAAGGTATAGGATTTAGTGAAGCCGCAGCACCACAAAGTGGAGTCCAGACCGAGACTGCAATATTTGCCAAGTGGGAGCATCACACCAGAGGCATTGCATCGAAGATGATGGCAAGCATGGGCTACCGTGAAGGTACGGGCTTAGGTGTTTCAGGTCAAGGGATACTTGATCCAGTCTCTGTAAAAGTTCTTCCCAAGAAACAATCTCTTGATCATGCTCTTACCTCTGGTAATACCAATGAAAACAAGGAAACCCGAGTTAAGAAACGAAGCAGAGGGGGCAAAAGGAAGAGAGAAAAGAAATTTGCTGAAGCTGCTCGTGCCGCTAAAGAAGAAGAAGTGCAGAACTCTGATGTCTTCAGTTTTATAAATAACCAGCTTGCTGGTCAAGATCCTGTTTCTAATGGTTCAGGGAAGAAATCCAAGGGTTCGAGTGAGGAAAGGAAGGAAGATCGTCGGTCTTTGGTTGCGTATGATGATGAGGTGAAAGATTTGAGAAGTAGGGTAGTGAAGCTGGAGGAGATGGTGAACCGAAATCGCAGAGATAAGGCAATGTTTGAAGCGGCTACAAGGAAGTTGAATGAGACTCAAAAGGCTCTGGCTGATGCTGAGGCAGCGCATGCCTCAGCGTCGAAAGCTGTTGTTAGTAAAGAGAGAGAGAAGAAGTGGCTTAAATTCTGAGTAAGATTTGAAAGTTTTTGTGTATTTGGATATCCTTGCTTTGGAAAGCATGAATATATTTTTGGTGGATGGTAGTAATGTTATGTGATGGCCTGCTGTGTTTTGAGGTGAATGTAACAGGGTTAGAGTAATAGGATGTAGTGTTAGATTTGAATATTTGAGATCTAATCTATAAAACCATGATTAATTCAAAGAGAATAAACAACAATGAGAGCGGAAGCTTATACCTGAATCTATTGTTTGGATTTGTATGGATCTGAATTAGGGTTTGATCTTCTAATCTTGAGGGTCTCTTTTAGAATCTCTTTAGATGAGGATTAAGAGAATAGAGAATGTAACCCTAAATTAGGGACTATAACCTCTTATTTATAGTTGTTGTACTTTTATAATTTGACCTCTCATCAAATTATAATTACAACCTGATATTCGCATATTTAGCCCATGACATATTTAAATACTCATTGACCCAATTACCTGATTGATCACTTTATGCGTGTCAATTGAAAGATAGCAACACACACTGATATAACATATGTGTTTACAAATAGATTTAATTAGATTTAAATCCAACATGTAGATGATGCTTATTTAGCACGATGTTATTATGTACTGCGCTTCTTTCGACAGAAGACTCTGTTATTTATTATATGATTTAAATTTTTTTTGGCAAGTAACCTCTGTGAATTATAATCTATATTTATTTTCTCTAAATAAACAGTGCCACCTCTAAACCTTTCATAACATGCCTCAAATTTCAGATGTAGTTAACATATGTTTCAAAGCTTTTGACTCGACACTGACATTTTGACACGAGAGTTTTGAGCCGGATGTTTTCTTTTTGGGAAGAAAAATTGGTATAGAGGAAAATTTGGAAAAGAAATTTGTATAATATGCAAAATCAGTATAGTTAGTGGAAAATTCAGTGCAAAAGGAATGCTATTTTTCAGTGGTCCAAAACTCATAGAATCGATCATGGAACAAGATGACACATGTTATTTTTTTAAAAGGAGTCTAACCAAGATTAATGACAACTATGGAGTCGCATCTCATGTTCCACGAGATTTGGGATCCTCTACTCACGAATAATGTCCTAATATTTGCTAATACTCAATCTTGGCCTTTCATTTTACATATGTGGGGCCCATTGGAAGGGATGGAGGATAATGGAGGGGATGGATCTATTAGGAAACATTAGGAAACCCTATTCATAAGTAGAGAATCCGGATCCGTTCTACGATTGGTCTCAAGATTTTGTGTCCAAAATTAATTTCTCTATATTTAAAATCTACATGAGTTTTTCCATATTTCCCCTTTTGTTCTGGAGTAATAAAAGAAAGCCCAATACAATTTACGCCTCTACAAGCCCAAGAAAATTAGGCCCAGGTTCGGAAGCTATACAGCCATGACCCAATTGCGGCAAAGTATACCAGTCATCGACTTCCGAAAATCAAAAATCGTCGTCTCCTCTTTCCCTTCCTGCTTGCTTTCCCCGCAACAAGCGAAGTCTAATCCCCATCTCCCCTCCAAAAATTCTCCAATTTCACCCAAAATCCGCCTTATTCCCTCAACGATGTGGGCAGCATCGTGCCTAGCTTCATGCTGCCGCGCCTGCGCGTGCGAGGCGTGCGCTCCGTGGTCGGCGGCATCTCCCGCTCCGCTCGCATCGCTACGTGCGCTTTTCGCCCTCTCCCTCATCGTCTCCTGGATTCTCCGAGAGGTCGCTGCCCCCTTGATGGAAAAACTCCCTTGTACGTGATCTATCAAGAACCGATCTTTTCATCTAATCGCCCAATTTTCTGATTTTTAGGGTTTTTATGTTTTTTTTTTGGGTTAGGGATTAATCACTTTCATCGGACGCCTGATCGGGAGTGGTTCGAGACTGACGCGGTGCTTAGGGTTAGCTTGGGGAATTTCCTTTTTTTTACGCTTCTTGCGGTGCTGATGATGGGGATCAAGGATCAGAAGGATCCTAGGGATCGGATTCATCATGGAGGGTGGACGGCTAAGATTTTTTGCTGGTTTGTTGTGGTGATCCTCATGTTCTTTGTTCCTAATGGGCTCGTCAGCTTCTATGGTGAGAAAATGTTCAAATTTCCATGTTTTTATTGAGTTTAACGCTGTGGAAGCTGTAATTTCTTTGAGTTGGCTTGTTTAGAGGTGTAATCTTTATTGTTTTGTGGTCCTATTAGATAGAAAGCTAAAGGATGCTTACAATAGAAATTTATGTTGTGTACCACTTACTGATTTTAAGGGGTTTTAAAGAAGAAATTTGATATTGGTTCTTGGGAAATTGGGCTCTCGGCTGCGAAATTGGAGGTTTGTAGTTGAGTGAAATTAGGCTCTCCTTTGGTATGCACAGGATCGAGTTATGGATAAGTGCTATATTGGAACAAAAAATAGATGATTCCTTGCTATTGACATATGAAGTTTGCTTTCATGAGGATCGAATTAAATGAACATGATTTGACTTGTATCTTTAAAGTGCAGTCACGTGGGCAGTTTTTACCTTGAGCAAAAGAAAAACCGATCTACAGTCTACACTGAAAATAACATTCTTATGTAGCATGGTTTTGTATCTTAGGAAAGGAAGAGTACTTGTAATTGTTTAGTTCCTAGTTGAACACCTTCTATGCGCTGCATGAAGAAGTAAAAATATGAACACGAATTGGTTTCATATGTCTTATATACTTTGTTTGTCTCTGTTAGAGGAGTATATTGTGGGTGCTAGAAGAGTATCCAGATAATTTTCCTTTCGCATGAAATAAGTGAATATCGCCTGTTGCTCTGACTTGTTGAAGTCATCAGTATGCTGATTTCCCTCTTCAATACCTATAGTGTGAGTTGTGGGTTATATTGTTTGATTGGGTTGGAATTCTATTTTAGAGTGTGTATATGCCTGTGCATATATGTATGCATACTTGTGCATGTGTGCTTGCACGCATGCGTGCACGTGAGTGTGCATGTATGCATGTATCTGTGGCTGGAACTCTTTGAGCTTAATGTTACATTCTGAAAAGAAATAAACCAACCCTCCAAATTTTAGTTGCTACTGCCTACTGCTAATATATACCCTTTTATTTGTAAATGTCTCCACTATTTAGCATCAACTAATTGGGTCACAAATAATTAGGCTCCTATTACAACATAACTCTTCTGAAGGCTTTGTAGTTAATTTTAATTTTGAATATGTCTCATGTTATGCTCCTGGCGAGACCATTACATGATTGTTTTCTTCTTTAAACTGTCATCTATGTATTTGAGATTAGTAACTTTGTCTAGCCATCTATTTGGTGATCTATTTCAACTTTGGATGCTTATGAGTTGAGATCTGCATGACATCTTACAAGATAGGATAACATGGACAGTTTACCAAAAAGTGCTCCAAAAATAGTTGCTTTGCAAACTCAGGAACACTATGAAATAAAAAAGATTATAGAATGTCACTATTACATTGTGTTCTACAGTAAAGCTTGCCATTTTGAAATAATCTCCTGAGCTTTGAATTTGCCTTTGATGCTTGTATGGTCCTGTAGCCTTACTGATGCATTTGTCTATAATTTCAACATCATTTTTTTTAACATCTGTCCTCCAAATTATAGTGCTCTTCCAGACAAACACGTTTGAAATGTACCTGCATGCACAAATGCTAATTTCCATTAACACACTCCAATCAGTATGATCTGCTGAACTGGCAGAAGAAAGGTGACTTATGTACTCTCTTTGTTATGGCTATAAATAAATAAAATTTGATTTTAGTTGCTATTCTGGGCCATGTTATGTTTGTTACTGCAGTGCTACGAAAGAACAGTGCTGTTAGTGTAACTGACAGAGTGGCAACAAATCTGACGGTTGTTTTACTTTATGGAGTCATCATTACCTTTTACATTTTCATAACATAATAATTCAACTCTTGTTGCCACAGAGACCATATCAAAATTTGGCTCGGGATTGTTCCTTCTGGTTCAAGTTGTTCTCTTGCTGGATTTCGTTCATGGATGGAATGACAGCTGGGTTAGTAAGGATGAGCAGTTCTGGTATGCACTTTTTATATTTTTCTATGCTGTTGTTAATTCGACACCATTCTATAATGGGGTGATCATCCTGGGTTATAATTCAAAAGGATTTAAATTATTTAAACCTTTTACTGCAGGTACATGGCGTTGCTTGTTGTTTCCCTTGTTTGCTATGTAGCCTCATTCTCATTCTCTGGGTTGCTCTTCCATTGGTTTACACCATCTGGACAAGATTGTGGCCTCAACACCTTTTTTATTGTTTTCACATTAGTTTTGGTTTTTGTGTTCGCTGTGGTTGCTCTACATCCGCAGGTATGTTGATACTACAATCTTCATATTAACGAAATCAAGTCAATAACTCATGAGAACTCTTTATTTTTATTACCTTGCTATCTATGAGGTTGAGCTATCCTATTTCAAGTTTATGTTAGGAGAAAAGTCCTTTTAACTTTTTTTTATCACATTAAAAAAGAAATACTCAGCAATAATATTTCCTGCTCAACTTCAGTTGATATTGTGAAAGAAGAGCTAGAAGCTGCCTCCCCTTGTGGAACATGAAAAAGTTTATGAAATCAACTCATCAAGAAAGTTTGTTCTTGAAGTTAATTATGTTTATTAAATAAGACTTTTGCTATAGCGTCCTATATCATCTTATACTACCTCACTGGGATGGAGCATGCACTTAGAACTCTTCAGCTGCTAAGTAAATTGAGGTGTGGGTGACAGCTTACTTGGAATTTCTCTTGGGCGTTATGTCTGTTAAAAATTGTGCCTGATATCTTTGTAAATGAGGCTTTAATTCGGCTGAGCTTGGGACGACGTATCATCAAACTTTCTTTTGACTTTGTTAATTATGAAGAAAGTTGCATACAAACTGGTGAAGTTTTGTAACTGTTTTAATGAGAGAGATCGACTAAATGAAACCCAGAGAGAGAGAAATTAAACTGAGTTTCTTTGCTGATCTGTGATCAAAGACAATGATTCTGGCATCAGAATGATGTTGGCAAAGACCTTCCAAGGATCTAGTCGATATGAGAACAAGAAAGCAAAGTAATGAAGTTGAAGGAAAGAGGAAGAGTGAACAGAGATTATATCTTCAGGCAGGAGTTTGTACTTGCTATTTACATAGGGAGAGTTCTTTTCTTTTTTTTTCTTATCTTTTTTTTTCCTTTTTTTTTTTTAGAGATTATATCTTCAGGCAGGAGTTTGTACTTGCTATTTACATAGGGAGAGTTCTTTTCTTTTTTTTTATTATCTTTTTTTTTCCTTTTTTTTTTTTTTGGATAACAAACTTCAGAGTGAATGTTTGATGAGACCTTCCATCATTTCTGGAGTTTCTTGAATGGCATTAATATCTATTCAGGATAATGTCTTCTTGCAAATTCTGGCCCGCCAACTATCTTGCCCTCTGGTATGAATTGCTAATTTCCATTAACACACTCCAATCAGTATGATCTGCTGAACTGGCAGAAGAAAGGTGACTTATGTACTCTCTTTGTTATGGCTATAAATAAATAAAATTTGATTTTAGTTGCTATTCTGGGCCATGTTATGTTTGTTACTGCAGTGCTACGAAAGAACAGTGCTGTTAGTGTAACTGACAGAGTGGCAACAAATCTGACGGTTGTTTTACTTTATGGAGTCATCATTACCTTTTACATTTTCATAACATAATAATTCAACTCTTGTTGCCACAGAGACCATATCAAAATTTGGCTCGGGATTGTTCCTTCTGGTTCAAGTTGTTCTCTTGCTGGATTTCGTTCATGGATGGAATGACAGCTGGGTTAGTAAGGATGAGCAGTTCTGGTATGCACTTTTTATATTTTTCTATGCTGTTGTTAATTCGACACCATTCTATAATGGGGTGATCATCCTGGGTTATAATTCAAAAGGATTTAAATTATTTAAACCTTTTACTGCAGGTACATGGCGTTGCTTGTTGTTTCCCTTGTTTGCTATGTAGCCTCATTCTCATTCTCTGGGTTGCTCTTCCATTGGTTTACACCATCTGGACAAGATTGTGGCCTCAACACCTTTTTTATTGTTTTCACATTAGTTTTGGTTTTTGTGTTCGCTGTGGTTGCTCTACATCCGCAGGTATGTTGATACTACAATCTTCATATTAACGAAATCAAGTCAATAACTCATGAGAACTCTTTATTTTTATTACCTTGCTATCTATGAGGTTGAGCTATCCTATTTCAAGTTTATGTTAGGAGAAAAGTCCTTTTAACTTTTTTTTATCACATTAAAAAAGAAATACTCAGCAATAATATTTCCTGCTCAACTTCAGTTGATATTGTGAAAGAAGAGCTAGAAGCTGCCTCCCCTTGTGGAACATGAAAAAGTTTATGAAATCAACTCATCAAGAAAGTTTGTTCTTGAAGTTAATTATGTTTATTAAATAAGACTTTTGCTATAGCGTCCTATATCATCTTATACTACCTCACTGGGATGGAGCATGCACTTAGAACTCTTCAGCTGCTAAGTAAATTGAGGTGTGGGTGACAGCTTACTTGGAATTTCTCTTGGGCGTTATGTCTGTTAAAAATTGTGCCTGATATCTTTGTAAATGAGGCTTTAATTCGGCTGAGCTTGGGACGACGTATCATCAAACTTTCTTTTGACTTTGTTAATTATGAAGAAAGTTGCATACAAACTGGTGAAGTTTTGTAACTGTTTTAATGAGAGAGATCGACTAAATGAAACCCAGAGAGAGAGAAATTAAACTGAGTTTCTTTGCTGATCTGTGATCAAAGACAATGATTCTGGCATCAGAATGATGTTGGCAAAGACCTTCCAAGGATCTAGTCGATATGAGAACAAGAAAGCAAAGTAATGAAGTTGAAGGAAAGAGGAAGAGTGAACAGAGATTATATCTTCAGGCAGGAGTTTGTACTTGCTATTTACATAGGGAGAGTTCTTTTCTTATAACAAACTTCAGAGTGAATGTTTGATGAGACCTTCCATCATTTCTGGAGTTTCTTGAATGGCATTAATATCTATTCAGGATAATGTCTTCTTGCAAATTCTGGCCCGCCAACTATCTTGCCCTCTGGTATGAATTTTTATTATCCAAAACTTCATTAGTTAGCACTTCACAAATTTTAGAAACTTTGATAACAAACTTCAGAGTGAATGTTTGATGAGACCTTCCATCATTTCTGGAGTTTCTTGAATGGCATTAATATCTATTCAGGATAATGTCTTCTTGCAAATTCTGGCCCGCCAACTATCTTGCCCTCTGGTATGAATTTTTATTATCCAAAACTTCATTAGTTAGCACTTCACAAATTTTAGAAACTTTGTTGCAGTTTTTGTCTTTTAAAGACACTGATACTGAAACACTGGCGCTTGATGTTAAAATGCCAAGTAGAATCTAAGGCAGAGGTCAAATACAGGTGTGGAATGTGAGTTTAACCTTACCTCTTATATCATTAGATCTTTTCATGAAACCAGCCTAAGTGGCAATGTGGCGTTGCTTCAATAACTTTGATAATTGCTCTTTGAAAAAAATACATAAATAAAGAAAATATAAAAACAATTCCGCACACGTGAACGTGATGATCTGGATGATAATTGATAATCCTTCATTGTCCCAATGCATAGTATGACCATGCTTACAGTGGTTTCATATTCTTCATTACATAGCATGCTTGCTGCATTTAGATGAATATACTCAATAACAGAGTGATCTTCATGCATATTTATCATTATTTTGGTCCTCTAGGGATAGTATAAGTGAGTATCATATTCGCCCATTGGTAATTGAGCTTATCTCTGCTCAACTACAAATTCAACTTGGGATCTTATGTTGAGAATACTATGGTGAGCATCTTGTCTATCCCGATGCAACACTGTATTTTATGTTGAATATAGTTCCTACTTTTTTTTTAAATTGAATGAAACATGTTAACTAAATTAGCTTATTCTATAATACGAATGCTTATTGTAAATGATATGTTACATCCTATTTGATTTATCATATGGTGTAGCAATAAGCTCGGTCTGTTGACCAGCATGGAATTGTTTGGTACGTAAGGCCATTCATTGTGAGTCAGAGGACATGTAAAGTGAGAGTTGGAGAGTAACCTAACATGTTGCAGAACCATTAATTGCTATGTGTGGTTAGGTAGCTCTACTTGCTACCCTATGGGTTTACTCCAATCACATTACGCTCTATTGAAGAACCAGCAAAGTGACCTAATTTTAAAACACTTTTCAACATGACATCAACCCTTTTGGTTGATGTGAGATCTCCAATCATGTAAAAGTAGGGAAAATCTATTGTTGCTTGTTTGAAATAGTGAATGATTAGGTACTCGTGAAGTCCAAAAATAGAGAAAGCCACGTGATACAGGGAATAAGCATCCATTTATTAAGATAAAGTATTGTTGTATTGACCTAGTGTACCATAGTCATAGTTCCCGTGTTATTTGTTACATCGCAAAGCAATTTAATTTGAGATGGTTGATGAACTATTATTTGTTCAATTTTTTGTTTTGATGTAAAATTGATTTTTGTTACTACCCTTCAGCACACAAAACATGGTCTGCCTAGTTTTCTCAAATCCTTGGATAATAGCATAAATTCTTCTCTATGGTTGCAGGTAAATGGCAGCCTTCTGCCTGCTTCAGTAATCTCCCTCTACTGTACTTACCTATGCTACAGTGCTCTCTCTAGCGAGCCAAGAGACTACGAATGTAACGGCCTCCATAACCATTCAAAAGCTGTTTCTACCGGAAGTCTCACCCTGGGCTTGGTCACAACTGTCCTCTCTGTAGTCTACTCTGCAGTTCGTGCCGGTTCTTCAACTACCCTACTCTCACCACCGAGCTCACCGCGTGCTGGTCAGTATGTCAATCTCTAAGCTGTCCAAAACATATTCACAAGGGTTAATTGTGGATAGACTCCCTGTAATGTCGCAATAGTGGATAGACCCCCAAAAGTTCTATTGCTGCATATATCCCCCCCTTTTTTTTTTGCTATTTTACCCTCAGGAAGTCTTTGTCAAAAACAAATTTCTCTTTCTCTGAGGGTCAGAGAGTTGAAAAAAATTCTCTCAGGGTCTTATCTGCAATACAAATGACAGGCGGTCTATGCACAATTGGGTGATGGTATTATTATTATTTTATTTATTTATTTATTTATTTATTTGGTGGGGGGTTGGGTCGGGGTCTATCCATAATTAACACTGTTCATAATTTAGGTTATAACACTAACCAAGTTCTCTTATATTAGGTTCAGATAAGCCTCTGCTACCCTTTGACAAGTTGGAGGACCAAGAGGATAGGAAGAAAGAGGAAGCAAAGCCAGTCTCATACTCATATTCCTTCTTCCACCTAATCTTCTCTCTTGCTAGTATGTACTCTGCAATGCTTCTTACAGGATGGTCGAGCTCGGTTGGGGAGAGTGGAAAGCTTGTTGATGTTGGATGGCCGTCGGTTTGGGTGAGGATTGTGACTCAATGGGGAACTGCTGGTCTATTTATTTGGTCTCTTGTTGCTCCCCTTCTGTTCCCAGATAGAGAGTTCTGAACTTTTTGATCAATAAAAGGAAGGCAGAGCTCTTGTTTGGTTTGGTTGCAATCCGTATGGCATGTGTATTTATATGTAAGAAAATTCTGTGAGCTGAGGTGTTTATTTCCACAATAATCTACTTGTTAACTGTATGGTTATGGTTTGAATGGATGGATGATCTTTATTATGAGCTAGTATTTTATGAGCTAGTATTTTGCCGGTGCTGCGCGGGTAGCGGAAACTAAATTCACATCATTAGCTTGAAATGTTACAAGTCAGATTTTTTTATTTATTTAATGTTTGGTTTTCAGAAATTTCTTCTTTAGTCATATGCATTTGCTTCTAAATTGAATTAAACAAAATATTCTTCAATTGATGATTCTCTTTTCTATTTTTTTATATATTCTATTTTTTAAGGACCAATGATTTATAGCATAGAGTTTTTCTTCAAATGGTTTAGAATTTAAAAGATATTTAAAATAAGCCAGTGTATGACTTTTATTTCAAATTTTGAAATTCACAGTTAATTAGTTTAACCACCATTCTCCTTTATAGTTCCTATTTATTTAAAATATTCTTAGATAGAAAGATAGAGAAAAGTCGGCTTGCCTAATGAGCATGTAGATATTTTTTATTTCAAAATTTTAACTTGAAATTAGATAGTTTGACATCAAACTTCCTTTGTAATATCTCTCCTTTTTTAATAATTAAAAAAATTAAAACGATATAAAAATTTTCGGCGATACATTTGATCATAGCATCGAAAATATCTCTTGATATTGAAACTACGGAGACTTAGCTAGCTGACAAGATCATCTTATATTGATATTTTATTATAAGAACTTTTGATATTTTGTATGAACTAAAGAATATATTGAAATAAATTGTGCAACATGAAGCAATCAAATAAAACATTACAGTTAGATGAGATATGATGCATTCGCATGTTCATTTAATCTAAAAAAACAACCTCACGCTTTAATCTCATTCTTGTAATGCTTGTATTAGAGTTTCAACTTAATTTAAAAAGAATATGTGGTTTTGAAATACCCATCAAATATCTTAAGAATATAAATGTTTATTCCTGGAATAATTGTAAGAAGACATTAGAAATTCAATATAATTAGCAGAAAATACTAGATAGAGCAAGAAGAAATCAATATAATTTTTTTTGGGTAATTTGTGTGATCATTTATTTTTTTGGAATGCAGAGAATATTTTTGTAGCAAGAAAGTTTTTAATTTTATAAATCTTTATATAGTATATATTGTTTTATGGTGTCATGTGTTCTATTTCTATTAAAATTTTAAAGAGAGACAAAGATGAACTAAAACTTGAGGGGGACTTTCAAATTAAAATAGTTGATAGAGGTTTTCCAAGACGTACCCTGCAGTTGAAAGGGTTAAGTGAAGAAAGTTCGAGTGGTTATCTCAAATTTTCATAGTTAAGAGAGGTTGTTTATAGTATGATTAAACTCGAGGGGAGGGGGGAGGGGGGTGGTGTTTCTCAAATTAAAATAGTTGAAGGAGGTTTTCTAAAATTAATCCATGATTTTAATAGGTAAACTCTACACATAAGTTTTTCCCTATAATTTCTATATTTAAATATATAATTATGAGATTTTTTTAAATTATGGATATTTTATAATCTTATAATGATTATAGAATAGTTGATTATTATAATTTCGTAATCATGGATAGTTTTAATTTTATGAGAAATCTTAGGTTAATATAAAATTAGGTAGCCACATGTCATTTTCTGATAGGATAAAAAGACGTGCGTGTGTTAGGATTCATATTTATGAGCCTACTTTCTAATCTAGTTTTAATGATTAACAAATAATTTCTAATCTTGTTTTCTAGTATTTGTTTTTTCCTTCAACATGAATCCAGGTCGGATGTTAGAAGGATTTGCGTCTTAACGACGATATTTTGGAGGTTGGTGGATATTGGAATGAAGCTGTCGCAATTCAAGTCAAATACAAGATCGTGCTTCATCCCTACTACGAAGAGGAGGATCGCCCAAGATCAAGCATCATGCAGATCATTTGCCTTGGGTATAGTAGTTTAGGTGTTTATACTTTATGTGTTATGCTTACAGTTCAAATCATATACACACACTTTTGTTTTACATTTGTTGCTTATACATCGTTTTGTGAGTTAACATGGTTTTCATATTATAGACTAAATAATATTGTTTTCTATCATTTCTAAAGCATATCAATCTACTAAAAAGAATCTCAAAACTTGTTTGAAAGAATTTCATCAAAATCAAGTTTTAACGAGATTGTATTTTTGAACGTTTTGCAAAATAATGCGTTTTCACAAATGAGAAGTGATATTTTAGAAATTTCTTTTCCAGCATGTTTATTTTCATATATATAAACATTTTCCCAAGTTTTACTATTTTTGGAGTTGATTTGCTATTTTAAAACGAAGTTAGAAAATCAAGTTTTCAGCAAATCAAGTATCTGGTATGTCAGTCATCAGTCGACCGATGGATGAGATCGATCGACCGACCAATAGAATTATTTTCAGTCTGAGTTTTACAGTCTATCAGTCGACCGATCCAAAAGACAAGTCGACCGATCAACGGTCATTTGGCTTTAACGGCTAGTTTTTGGCTGATTTCTTTTGAGAGACTATATATAGCCCTCATAACTCATTTGTTTTTTATGGAAGTTTAGAAAGAGGTTTTGCAAGTTTGTTTAAGGGTTTTTAAGAAAAAATTGAGTGTGTTTGTTTGTTTGAATGAGTTTTACAAAGAGAATGATTTCATCTTCAAATCTCTACCTCTCTTTGTTTTAGAAAAGTTTTTCTAAACTCATCCTCTACCTATTTATTATTTTGATTCTCATATATTTGTGCTAGATTGATTTGAGTTTAACCTTGATCTTATTATACTCATTGTTTACACACACAACCACTTGAGCTTAAGTATTTCACATTAAGTATATTTGGGTTGTGAGAGTGTTTTCATTGAGAGAGCTTAATATTTGTTCTCATTTGTATTGGAGAATAAATCCTTTATTTACACTTTTTGTTGAAACACGTTGTAATACACAAAAACACTTAGAGGAGTGATTGCCGAGAGACCGGAGTTAATTCCAAGAGGAGTGGGTTGATAGTAAAGCCTAGGGAGATGTCGTAAATCCAAACACTAGAGAAAGGTAACACGGGTAGTCCAACACTATGCACACATGTATAGAAAAATTTATAAATGCTCTATTTATGATCGTAAAGGCCATCTTGCTAAAATTTGCTATGATGCACAAAAAACCACTAAGTCCAATATTATTCCTCCTTGTGCATCCCATCAAGTTTCATCACCACACACACACACACACACACACACACACACACACACACGCACACGCACAATGTTCATCATAAGCATGTAAATGTGTATAAGTGTGATTTTTGTGGTAGATTTGGTTACTTGGCCAAATTTTGTTTTGATTTGAAAAAAGTTTCACATTTTCAAAATACTTTAAAAAGACCATATTTATTTGCAAATGTTTCTCGTGCACAATCAAAAGGTCATCATAAACAAGTGCATCCATTCCATTGCACTTATTGCAATATGATGGGTCATTTACGTAATCTTTGCTATGAACGTACATATGCACTAAATGCGCCCAAACGAGGTCATAACCCAAGGGCTTTGAATTTCATTGATAGGGGTCATGTCCCTAAACTCTTCCACACCAAGAGTGTTTGAGTGCCAAAATATGTTTGATTTTAAAAAACAAAATTTTAGCGTTTTTTGTTTTTCATGTTTTTAAAAGATGATTTGTGTTTAGATTTTTTGTGTAAATAAATTGTGAATATTTTTACTAAATATATAAAAGAATATATTTTCACCATATTTAAAAGGTAACTTGATATATATTCATTTTTGAATAAAATATAAATGGTGTTTTTAAGTTTGTCAATAGTGGTTTACGTTTAAAATGCATATGCATTCTAGCTGTCATTAGTCGACTGTTCACTTTCACCGGTAGACCGAGGACTGATACTTAATCGAACGATTAAAAAAAATTAGTCAACCGACAGTGAGTTGTTTTTACTATGTTATTTTTACCGGTTTCTTGTCTTCAACCCATGTTTTTGGAAATTTATCTTTATTATTTATTACATATTATGAATTTTATTGGTTTTGATTTAGATAAGAGGTTCATATTGAGCAACCATCCGGATTTATTGATCACCTCTTTCAAATCATGTTTACGGGGTGCAAAAAACTTCATACGGGTTGAAACAAGCTCAAAGGGCTTGGTATGCTCAAATTTTATTGTCGGATATAGTACAAATTAATCTTGGTTTGTTTTATCCTAAGCATACCTCTTTTTTATCCTTGTGGATAAAACATATAAATGTTCGACATTGCTTTTTTATATGTTTATGTATATAGGAAAGATGTGACCCTTATTTATAATTGACACAAAATCTCTATTAGTGAACATCTTTTCAAACCTCTTTGTGATTGTCATGTAAGAGGTGAATTGGGCATGTTTATCACTTGAATCATGTTTGTTTGATCATTTCTTTATCAAAAACGACATTTCATTATTTTCATGGATTTTTATTTGGATTTTCTTTTGGTATCATTTTTTGTTTTTATTTGGCCTTCATGGATTCATGGATTTTCATAGATACTTTCATAAATATTTCCGGATGATGAATTTGGATCCTCGTTTTGTTACGACCTTTGAAGATAATTTTTGAGGTTTTTGACTTTTTTGTTTAAAACTAAGAATTTCATTTTGTCTTTTGCACTTTCTTATCTGTGTTTTAGGGCCCTTGTAAAACTTTTTTTCTTAATGATATATATATGTGTTCTCTTGGTCTCTTTGAATGTGAGTTGTCACAATATTTTTTATATCTATGCTCACATATTGCTGCCCTATAACTTTCTTTAAGGTATTTTGATAAATGAAGTTTTTCCCTATCTGTTTTATACTCACCGTGCTTATATGTAGGGAGAGCTTTTGCTCTTTATTCTTATTGTTTTCCTTATTTTGATGTTGACAAAGGGGGAGAAATAAGTGAATTGTGAACATCTCGTTTTGTTCACTATTGGTTAAACATGTGTATTATATAATTTTTATACTCTTTGCGCAAATTGTTTGTCATCATCAAAAAGGGGGAGATTGTTAGGACTCGTATTTGTGAGCCTACTTTCTAATCTAGTT